AGCATTTGGCCTGGCAGCTTCGTGCGATTTTCCCCGCGTCTACTCAATCCTGTTTTTTGAGGATTGAGTAGACACGGGGAAAATCGCACAAATCTGCGAGGCAAAATGCGGGCGCGCAGCAGCTTGTGTGAAATTGACACCTACCAGCGAGGCAAAAGTGAAGAGTGAGCCCAGAGCAGCGCTAGTGGGAAATCACCCCCTGCAATTACAGAACAAAATTCGAGTCCAGTCGCGAGGGACTTAAATGCCGATCATGGATCATAAAATAAATGGGGTGATGTTGTGTAGCCAAATCGTATTGACCTACATGATGACATCACTGAGGGGAAAGAAAATCACTACAGAAAGCAAGCAAGAGAGGGCAATGTAAATAGATAGGCAAACATGTCTGCAAGCATAGCCAAACGACCTTCAGGAGAAGAGCACATTTCAACTTGGTTGAAAGTGTTCCCAAAGTACAGCTCAGAATTCCAGTTCACTCCAGCAAGAAATCATTAGATTTAGGGCTGACCCAAAGAGAATAGAAAGGCTTTGAGTTTTTCTGTAATTTCTAATTTTCTGATAAAGAATATGTAGGGAGACCTCCAGAACACTCCGTCACCATCCGTCACCACTCAGCTGGGCAGTGGGGGGAAATGCTGAAGGAAATCAAGGTGTGGTCAGTGGCAAGCCAATGCCATGATGTCACTTCCATCACAAGTGATGTTGTTGCATTTGGTGATGTTCTAGCAATCACCCCAAACTCTGTCGTTAAACCAGAGACTTGGGCAAATGCTAGTGCAATAACGTTGCAATAACGTTGTAACCTGTGTGCAATAACGTTGACTCCCTGGTCACACTGGAAGTTACATCATGATGTTGCCAGCGCTGGCAAGGACCCTCCAGTAAGTCTACTACTGGTTGCCAGCCTCTGACTGGCAACCCTATGAATATAGAAGTCCTATACGGAGTGAGACCTTTGGCCTATCAAGGTCACTATCAGTTCTGACTACTCTGACAGGCAGCAGCTACTCAGTGTCTTGGGTAAAGGTCTTTTGCATCACCTACTATCTGTTCTTTTAATTGGAGAGGCCAAGGACTAAAGCTGAGATCTTCTGCGTGTAAAGCAGATGCTTCACCACCAGGGATGGGCACAAATGGCATTTCTTTTGGTTCAGTTTGTGATTTGTGGCTGAACCACGAACCAAAATGTCAGTTTGCAAACTGAACTGGGTCATATCGGTTCTTGGGCCATTTAAAGTTTAAACCCCTGCTTTCTGCTCCCCACAGCTTTTTGTGGGGATAAGAAAGCAGGGGTTTCCAAACAGCTGAGCGACAGGGAACACCACTCAGCTGTCTGGTTTAAATGGCTCTAAGCCATTTGGTTT